TTGTTTTTTTTTTTTTTGCTTTATGTTTTATTAAATTGTTATAGTAAATCACATATTTCTGCATTAAATAGATTGTTACCAACTTAACCACTAAGCAGCACAAAGATTCTTCAATTAGCAATAGGTGTCCCTTTTATGAATCTTTGTTAATTATTTCTCTTTCAAATTCATTGATCATCTTCAACTTTGAAATTTTCTTTATAAGCCTTTGAGTTTTTCTTTTTTTTCTCCGCTTTTATTTTAATGTTTTTTTTTTACAAGTATCCTCCCCTATAACACCTGTGGAAGCACCAACACCAACTGTAAGTGAAGACTCAGTCAGGAAATTAGAAGCTTTCTTTAATTCTTCCATGGATGTCTACAAGGAAACCAGTTTTTCCTTTGTCATGGAAGGCATACAATTGACATTATATACAGATAGTAATGAGGTGGTAAGCTATGGTTCAGTCTCTGTAACAACTTTTTTATATGTGTTTGTGAGTTTTTTACAATTAAAACAAACATTTGTATGTAGCATATAAGAAATTCAAATTCAAACTCTGTCTGATATATTATTTCAATGAATTTCATCTATCCATATCTTATTTTGACAAATTCATGTTTGATATATTTTAATTTGTGATATATACTATGTTTGTACCACAACTAACTTTCATTGTTTTCCAGCTTCAACTGTGCTAGTGTTTCACAAGAATAAATTCTATATGTATGTGCTGGTAAACAATGAAAGCTTTTCAATACTTTTTTTGAATTGATGATGGACACTACAACCACAAAATTCATAAACAACAGCATATTGAATGTTTTGGAATATGCACATTCCATCTTCAGCAAATTCCTGCAATAAACACACAACTGAAATTTCCATTAATCATCTAAATGTTAATTAAAAGCTTATGTACTACACTAAACATTTTTAAGGATAATGTTGAGACTCAAAATGTTGGTGGATTGTTAAAGTTTGTGAGTGAATATGGATATGATATGGACCCACACTAAATGAATTAGTAAAAGTATCTAGTGAGAAAGAATTAAAAGAAGCTCAACTTGATAGAATTTGAGTTATTATTTTAAGATTTTATTTAATAAGTAGACTCTTTACTGAAAAGTTCCACATGTGTGTGGTCTGTAGCTAAAACTTTTATAGTCAAGTGAGGAGAGTTTATGTTCAGTAGTTTGACTGTGTGTAAATAGAAAAAGTGCAGGAAGACAATTAAAGGTGTCTGATTCTATGAGAAATCCCCATGTGTTCATGGATATTTACATTTAGATGGCTTTTGGTTTTGCCAATATAGATAGCTTTGCAACTGTGACATGTATATGAGTAAATGATCCATGAATGAACTGGGATCTGGATGTAGTCTCTCACAGGGAAAAAATATTTCACCTAATCTCTTGATTTAAAGGCAGTTCTAAGTTGCATTTGTGTGTAGTACTTATGCAACAGTTTCTTAAGTTGATTTTGAAAAATTAAGCTCTCTTTCTCCAAGTAAGGAAGGCATAAATGTATGGGACATTTAGTTAGAGTATTCATGTTTAGTATCGCTAAGGAGATCGAGTTTCCTTTTCATAAAGTCACGAGTGATGGTTTTTAAGAAAAATTCCAGGATACCCATTTTTCTGAAGAGAAAGGTGTAAGAAATGTATTTCACTGTGTATAGGGAGATAACAAAAACAAATAATAAAAATTCATTGGTAGTCCTTTGCGAACGAAGACAACATTTCCTAGGGTGAATGTGTTATCATGTGACTGAACAGCCCAGTTTGAGATTTACATTGTTTGGGACATCTTTAGCAAATAGTGCTCAGAGGAAGACATTATCGCAAAGAAGGTATGGCTTCGTTCTCTTTCCTCTACTGTCACTTTTGCTTCTTCTTTTTCCATCAATGAGTTTCAAATGTTTCTGTAGCATGATGGATTAGATGATGCCAATGGGAATGGTCAGATGCATTCTCCTTGCATGTGTTGAGGTTGATGGATACTTTTTTGAGGTTAGAAATACTAAAAAATTTTAAGTAAACAAGCGATCATGTTGCCTCTGTAGTTAGATGGAGAGGAACTGCTTTTTCCCTCTATGAACTCTATGCTTCAAGGTAACTTGGAAATATAATATTCAAATTATTGTTATGGAGGTATTGTTAGGTAATGGAGTTGGCCTTATGGATAGGAAAGATTATATAAACAAGATGAAATGTGTGTTATCCGTCTCCACAGTTTTAGATAACACGTGTTCAGACTTACCTTTCATTTGAGTGAATAAAGTTAAATAAATATGTTGTTATTCTTGATTTTTGTGGTTATATTGTTCATTATTAAACTACATTTTCTGCCTCATGGATATGTTATTTTAATATTTAGCCATGGCATAATGGTTGATAGAATGGCTCTGAGTTTTTCTTTTTCTTCAAGTACAAACTTTTAGCTCATAGCTTCATCTCTTGACTGATTTGAGATCTAATACAGTTTTGGACGAAGGAAGTCAAACCCATCTGATTGATATATCTGACCACACTCAAGGTCTCATAGATTATTTACTCTAATTATGCCTAAAAGAATTTCAATTTGAGGATAGTCTGGTAGAAATTCTGATGAGTAATAAAATTGAATTGGGTATGCATGCACCCCTTGCTTGGTATTGCTGGCACACAAAAATATTGCTAATAAAATGGAAAATAAAGGTCTCTGAAATTAACTTACTCTAATCCTGCCTAAGAGAATTGTAAGTGCCATGGCTATTGAGGATTCCCTCTTGTTTATATAATTGTGTTACTTAAGTCTACAGCTGTTTTGTTCTTATCTTACATATCTTAACTCTTTTTTTTTTTTGCTTCTTATGGAACATTTCTTCCACAGCTGTCTTCTCCAGTACGTGACTCAGCTCATGCCTTATCAACGTTTCACATGGATGAAATTCACATGTCGGTTGAGATGAATAATGACAGATCTCTGGAGTTCAAATGTTCCCTACAGGCAGCAACCTTGGAAGATGTAAGACCAGAGAGTCATCTTGCCTTAAGGAAGTATGTGTGGATGTATTTATTATAAATTAAGCTGTCTTTTTATGGTAGGATTTTACATATTTATCTAAGTATGAAGTGTTTTTATTTGCTATTTTAAAATTTTGATACTGTATGAATTATTGTAAAGAAAAGTTGGTACAATTACAGCTAAGGAATGTTTGCTTTCATTTAAAATTGTCTGGTTAAATTACTCCAAAGCTAGTACTACTTGTGAATTATCTTGTTTCTTAATGTTAATATTTTTTCATAATGAAGACTAGTTTTTGTTTTTTCCCTTTTATAGTTTTTAGGTTATATCAAACTATTGTTGCAGTTTAAATAATCTGTGAGTATATGTTGATGTATCTGAAGATACTTCAGAACAAACAGTTGTAACAATTAGACATAACATATGGAACGCTTCTAAAGCAAAAAATGTAGCATAAAAAAGTAGTAATTTCACTTGACAATGTCCATGGTGAGTCAGCAGTAAGTTTATAGACTTATGGTGCTAAAATCTGGGGTTTGATTCTTCGTGATGGACAGAGTGCAGGTTACCTATTGTGCAGCTTTATGTTAAATTAAACAAACACACAAACTATAGACAGCTTTAGTACTTCATCAGATGAACATAAAATTTTAGTCTTCATGCATTAACATTAGATATTTCTAGTTCTTGTGAAGTGAGATATTTAGAATTAGATTTTCATGAAATTCCAAGGTATTGTTTATCTTTAAAAATCAGTTGCATTTTAATATTTGTTATTAATTTGTTACAGTTTTTTTTTATCAGAGATATCTGTTAATTAGATGCCATTAGGTATAAGAGAAGTTAATATTTTTGGGAATTAGAAATGCTTTGATAAATTAATAAATATTTTTTTGTTGTAACTCTGATTGTTTCTGTCTAAAGAATTTTCCAGTCATATAGTGGAGATTCTCGATTGGGAACTGGTATAATGGGAATAAGCCTGAGTATGCCACCAATGGTTGATTTGTCATACAGACAGAACAGCAGTGGTGATGCTGAAGGTGAGTATATGTTTGGGATATTAACATATTTTAAATTACTTGTCTTTGAAACATAATATACATTACAGTGCTCATTACTAGTAAACATGATTTGAAACTGAACCTAACATGTGTTGCAGAAAAAATTTGATGTCATAGAATCCAAATTAATAAGTTTAACTACATTTTCTCTTTATTCTGCCATAAAATCATTTCATTATTTTTAATTGTCTTCAGAATCAGATTTAATAAATTACAGAAGAATAATAAGTACTTCAATTATGATGATTGAAATTTTATGTAACAAATTTGGTGAAGTAAACAGGGTCAGTGAAACCTAGATTGAAGTCAGTCATCTATTGCTATAAACTGTTTTTATTTCTAATAATCTATAGGATGAATCTGATAAACTAAATAATAATTTTTATTGACAGATAAATAAGTAAATATGTTTAAAACTTTTATTTTTGTAAAGACACTACATTTCTTTAGGTTTTCCTAGCACTATCAGGTGGCAAGCTTAAAATAGAATATATAAAAAATTCAAACTGTCACATGTTATAATATCAGTAACGATGTTACATCATTAACCTTCTTACTAAGGTAGGTAAAAGTGTACATGTAATGACTTTTTACAGAGTTACATTAAATATTTAATTAATCCTTTTGCAGAGGGTACCTCTTTAAATCCTTTTCTATGCAAGTCACTGAATTTCATTCACAATTTAATTAAACAACCTTACTATCAATGTATGTCAATGACATTATAATTATAATGTATGTTATAATTTGGAGTTTTATTTTATCTAAGTTTTAATTCCTTTGTTTGAAAAGAAACCTTAAACTTCAGTTTTGTTGTCATGTGATCCACAAGCTATGAAAAATCTCAACTTTGGCTTTTTTTTTTAAATCAGATAACCTCAGTCCTGTAGATGTATGTCTAGACAATAAGTACATTTACTTGTGCTATTGACACATATGTTCCAAAGTTCTTTGGCTAAGTTCTGTTGAAACTAGAGATACATTTTCCAACCCCTGACAGGTGCCATAGCCACCTTCTATACTTTTTTTTAGCTTTATAAGTCAGATGTAATTACTTGACACATGTATACAGTCATTAGAAAGAGCTCATTTTACACTATAATCCAACAATAGTTATTTTGAAATTAGCATTCTGTTGTCATCATAGAGTAGATGTAACTGTTGGTAGTATTGTTGGCTGCTTTGTCCACTATAGCACTTACAGTTGTTTCGTACCTAAATATGTTATAGTTAGAGGGAAAGTTAAATTGTATTCAGGTCTTACTTTTATATCTTAGTTAATTATGTATTATATATGTTTTAAAATGCATAATTGAAAGAATTAAACATTTTAAAAATTTATATCAAACATTGCTTCAGTTCTCAAGGCTTACAATCTTGAGTGAGTGTAAGATAATTTTTCTGAAGGCTTGCACATCTCTCTCGAACATACTGTAATATGTCCAGAAGGTATTGTTGATTTGTGTTGAGATTGATTATAAATGGTAAAGGACACGAAAGGAAAATAAAACATTAAAAATTTATTATATTTAAAAAGGAAAAGACCTGAAATTACAAATATCACCAAAAGAAGATTTTATAAGAAAAATTAAAAGATATGTATTTCTTAATTTCAAACATTTCATTGCACCGTATGTTGAACATAGTATCTACAGTTAGTGATATGGTAGAAAAAATGAAAATATAAACATTTACCTTCAAAAAATACTTTTTATATTCATTTAGGAGGTTGTAGGGGTTATGCAAATAAAACTCAAACTCTAAAATGACAAAAAATATTTTGTACTTAAAATGAAAATCACCTTGTACTTGAAACTATTCAGAGTCTGAATGCAAATAACTACAATAAATAGATAACATATTTTTATTAGAAGGACTTGATTAAAATAATATCCTTTTTATAACCTTTAACAAATCTTAGCAGTTTTTCTGAGGATTGTTGCACACGTATCATATCCATGTCAGGAGACTGATGCGAAAAGGTTAAACTACTTTATTATCAACATATATAAATAACTTGACATTCAAATGTAGTTAATGCATCAAATTTTAATATTATACAAGTTTTACTTTTTTAATTTCCAAAGGAAATAATTAAATAAATTCTCAATTTCTTCTTGCCTGTGTGATGTGATTTTTGTTTGCCATATTCTGTTCTTTTATCACTTCTATATAATGTCATGAGTTTAAAGTAAATTACTTATTATAATGTAGATATTGCTAAGGCATAGTCTAATTTTTATAGCCTCCAATCTTCTTTGTTTACAGAGATATAAACCAGAAAAGTAAACCCACTTGCCACACCCTTCTTTCACAAATTGCTAATAATTCTCTATAACATGTTTTATTACACCATTTATAACCAGTAGAAAGACAAGAGTTGTATTTTACCAAATGATGTATAATGCTAGCTTGTTTTCAATAAAGAGTTTTATGATTTCACTTACAGATTGAAAGTTGCTATTGCCAATTTCAGATTGAACAGATAAGATAATTATTTTAAAGCACTTATTCTTTAGTTAGAATACTTATTAAATTATAATAGTTACATTGTTTACTTTATGCATGTTATTATTTTGTGTTCATAAGTTCATATTTCATGTAAAAAATATTATTTTAGTTACTAGTAATATTGTTACAAAGAACTAGGACTAAGTTTCATTGGTGGGCTGACAGGAAAACTAGCTGACATGTATAAGTACTAAATTTCTGTTTTTTTATGTATGTTTTTTACTTATTGTTATAAAAGTAACTAAAATATTGTTACGTCTCTGTTTGTTAATTGATTTTTCCGTAACTTCGTTCCGACGAAACTTTAGCGACACAAGTCCTTACTTAATAAAACTGGTTTATTTTTTCCGAATACAACTTTACGATACACTTATTTTCAACAGTCGCTCTATAACAAATGCTATATCAACGAACGTCAACAATACTTCTGACTGCAGTTCAATTACTCACTGTCTACACACACGTTACATTATTGTCACGTTGTGAGCGTCTTATGTATATATACCAGACAAATATATATCTAGTAAATGCTAGGGCATTCATGAAGGAACAAGATACTTCTAGAAAATAGGTGGCGTCAAAATAGTCACGTGATCTCGCTGACGCAACAATATAAGAATTAGGTAAGATAGTGAAAAACATTAATATTTCTCCACAATATTGCTCATGAGTAGTTTATACATTATGTAATTCAATACTGTAACTTCAGCTACACATTTGCTGCATGGTTTACAGCTTATATCATGGGATTATTAGATACAGTTCAAAGAGTTAAACCAGTAAGATTAGATAAAAGCAAATGTAAATTATTATGAATCTTAAGCTGTTCGTGATAAATAATTATACTTTTCTGTTGCTATCTGCAATCATTCTAGAAACAACAAATGGTAATTTAGATTTATTTCTTTTTTTTTTTGTGGTAGTTACAAGGTCAATTAAGGGTAGAGAAAATACAGATAAAATATACAGTTTTACTAGAGAAACTTTTGATATTATTTAAGAGATTTTAGAGGTTATGCAAATGAAATTTGAAACTATAAGATGAAAAAAAGTATTTTTTAATCTTAACATGGAAATCATACTGCACTCAGACTATTTAGAGTCTGAGGCAGACAACTCTAATAAAAAATACTCAATTAATTTTTTTTTGTGTGCAAAAGACTAAGTGTTCACTAAAAGCTTGCTGAATTTCATGAATTTACTATATTCAAAGTTATAGTATGTATAGTTTAGTAGTTATATGTTGGCTGCAAGGTCAGTCAAAATTAATGGGCAAATATTGAGAAAGTTAACCAATAATGTAATAGATATGGCTAATTAACTCTTTCATCATGGTGTCGGTCGATATGACAGAGTCACTTGACCTTTTGTACTCGTTTAAAGCTGATATAAATTTAATACTTATAACTCTCTATATATTTGGTATATCTTCATGAAATTTGGCAGTCTTTCAGTTAATGTTACAAGTCTTTCACATACAAAAAGTCATATTTCTTAGTGAAGTATTTTTAATATAATAAAATAAAGTTTTGTCCATGAATATATTGAGTATCTGTTTTGAATAGACCATGTACAAAGTAATTTTCATGTTAAAATTAAAAATACATTTTGTCATCTCAAAGATCTCAAATTTCCTTTGTGTAATCCCTAAAACCTCCTAAATGTATTTCAAACGTTTTTTCCACTAAATCCTTATAGTTTATATGTTATTTCCTCTACCCTATCTCAAAACAGGATCGGTCAATTCGACCAACCTTGTAACCACCAAAACAAATCGAAATAAACCTAGATTAACCTTCTTTTCTTTCTAGAATGACTTCAGATTGGAACATGACACTTCATTCATTTATCCTAAATAGCTCTAAGTTCGTAACATTATAAATCTATAATTATAATTAAATTTTAGTGTTTTATTGCCCCTTTTATTGCCATTTGAACTGTGTCTAACTGCTATTCCTGACATTATAAGCTGTAAATCACTTGGGGAACATGCAGCTCACGTTACACTATCAAATTAGATTACCCACAACCTGCTCGCATGCATGCTTCATAAACCATTTTAATTATATTATTATTATTACTTATTTTATCTAATCTAGCCTTAAATAACTTAAAAATATCTGTACTTTTAATTTTAGTTACTTTTATAATAATAAATAAGAATAAATATGAAAAACAAGAAGTAAAGTACTTACCTAATCTTCTTTTTTTCTTTCCCTTGATTGTCGAGGAGAGTTAAGCCTGATTTTTTTTTAGTGATTATAGTAAAGCACTTAACAATTTTATTTAGTTAAATAATACACAAAAGAAT